GGATTAAATTACTGGAATTAAACTCCCTTTGTATCTATGCCACATGAAATGCACAAGTTCAAGAAGTCAGCTCACCACCATCTTCTCGTTGGCAGCTGGGGTCGGCAATAAATGCTGGCCCATCCATCACCCACGTTCTGTCACTGATTTATATATAAAAGTTCAGAGAGCACTGTTTCTATCTCATTGAATTTGCCAAAGGCCTACACTTACCTCTCATTATGGCTGTACATAATAACTTGAATTCTGACGGTGCTGGTTGTAGACACCCAGAAAACCAGCAGCGAGATAACCTTGTGAATCACACAAAGAACCCCAATTCCTATTATGTTGTTGAACTGCGCTCGATTCCACCTTTCCAGACTGATCCCAACTGTGTTATCAGTCTTGGTCCCAAGCTGTGATGTTTGAGGGAGAGGTGATAGTGGAGTGCTGCATTTTGAAATTCAGAGCTCTCACCTCCCAGGCTTCTAGAGGCAGTGCTGAAGAAAGTGACTTCTGATTTTTGGGGTGAGCCCACTTATTCCAGAAGGTTGGGGATGAAACCTTTCGACAAGTCTACTCCCACTTTACTACTTGTAATCCAATTGCAATAACTCACTACTTCATTCCACCTCTTGTTGTTAAACTAGATTATTGTTGAAAAAAGAAGTCCAGTACTCTACAAAACAGACGCAGGAACACCAACTTGGACAATACTGATGTGAACATGAATCGATGCTACATGTTCAGCAGGGTGCTGATTTACTTTGCAAGTGGCCTTTGGTGAAGCTGTTACCTTCTCTGCTGGAGTCCCTCAGGATAGTGTCCTCGATCTATCCATTTTCAAATACTACTTCAGTAACCTTTGCTCCATTATACGATCAGAAGTGGCGATGCTCAGTAATGATTGCATAATGTTCACCACCATTTATAACTCCTCAGGTACTGAAACGGTCCCTATTCAAATGCAGCGAGACCTGTACAAGATCTAGGCTTAGACTGACAGTGACAAGTAACATTCAGGCCCATTCAGGCCACATAAGTGCCAGGTAATGACCATCACTAACAAGTGAGAATCTATACACCATCCCTTGACAGTCACTGGCATTACCATTACTGAATCTGCCACTGGCAGCATCTTGAGTTACTATTGACCAGCAAGTGAACTGCGCTGACTATACAAATACTGTGACTACAAGAGCAGGTCAGAGGCTAGGAATCCTGTAGCAAATAACTCATCTCTTGACTCCCCACAATATGTCATCAACCAAGGCACAGTCAGGATTGTGAGGGAATATTCATCACTTGCTCCAACACTTTGAGCTTGACACCATCCAGGACAAAGCAACCCAGAATATTTTCGTCAACACAGTAATAGATGCCTATTACTGACACTGCTGGTCTCTAAACTGCATAAAGTGCATTCCATACAAGGTTGAAACATGCCTTCTACTTGTGGAATAGAAATATCATGCAACCCTTAGAGTCTAAATATTTAAATGTCCCCTGACAGTTCCTTCAGTGTTGCTGGGTCAAAATCCTGGATCTCGCTCTCTAATGGCATTGTGGGTGGACTTATATCAAATAGACTGTTGTAGCTCTCTACCACTTTCTCAAGGGCATCTAGAGATGGGTGATAAATGCGTGTTCAATCAGTGAAGCTGACATACAATGAATGAATTAAAAAAGGAACATTATTCTCTGTTTCTATCATTTAGCTTACTTTGTATGCATGTGGTTACTGTCCCTTTTTAACCTTTAGATTCCAGCTTCCCTGAGAAGCCTATTATGTGGTATGCTATCAGATACTTTTTGCAGTCTATGTCCACTACGTTAACTCTGTTGCACTGATCAATCTTGTCTGGTACCTTATCAAAACAACTCAGTTAAGTTAAATTAAACACATTTTGCTTTTTAACAGATCCAGGCTGGATTTTCTTAATTAATCATCACATTCAAATTGAGCAGCTTTTCCTGGATTGATATTTCTCAATTTTCCCACCAGAGATTTGTTACGACCCACTAGGGTAACACCACATAAATCAAACCCCATTATTCCCACATGCTTTTTTTTTAAAGCTACATACAATGTCCCAATTTATCTGACATTCAGGCCTAAGTTACTAGCATGGACCTAGTTTCTCTGCAAACCAAGAGTTATTATTTATTACAAATAGACTGTAGTTACACAAAGAGAGTTGTATATGATTGGCATATAACACTACTAACTAAACTCTAATCCCCATATAAACGCACACGTGTGCACAGATGCACAGACAAACAAATAGGGAAGGAAAAGAGATTATGGATAGAGGTTAAAATATAACTGTAAAGTCAGCTCAGTTTGTCTTAGCTTGCTTGGTCCATTGTTTCAATGATTCTTCAGCTGTCCAGAACGCTTGTTCAAATGTCTTTGTTTGGATGCTTCCATTGGTTTGTAAGAAGTACAGAGTCACTGACTCACTTGGAAAATGTCTCTGATTTATCAGTTCATAAGTCACAGCTTGCAGCAGTTGCTGAAGAAAAGATAACTAGCTTTTTACAGGTTTCAACTGGGTTTTGACTGCAGAGAGCTGACAGCATCTGAGCTCAGAAGATCTGTAACCTTCTTTTCAATCAGCCTTATATGATGTATCTCATGGATACAAGTTGCTTGCTTATAAAACACTGGTTTTTAAAGCAGTACTTTCTCACTTCAATCTGCAGTTCTTCTAAAAATATGAAGTCATGGTCCTTACACTTCAAACTGATTGGCATGAAAATATTGAGTTTCTCCTTGTATCCTTTCGTAAATGAAGATACAGTATAATACTTGGATTTCTCCACACGTCTGTCATGGCCCTCTTGTCAAATGTATATAACTGTTACTTCTGTACTGTCTGTCTTACCCCACCCCATAGGAAACTTTTGTCTGATAGAATGGCCCCTAATCTTGCATATTTCTGAAATGTAGGTGATACGTTTGATACGCAATTGCCTGTGAGAAATTGTCTGACAATAGGGTCTACAATGTGCTAAAGTTTGCTTTCGAAATGGAAGCGTCCTAGAGCTCCTTTTCTTTGACGCATTAATGGAAAATTCCACTAATGAGTTCTTTAGTACTGTCTGCCAAAAGTCAGTTTTCACTGCTTAGTATCTATGTAGGATTCCTAAAGATCCATGCACTTCATAGTAACTTCATAAATAGCATCCAAACCAACTGGTGCTGAAATAGCATGCTTGAAAGCTAACTTGTAGGAAGACAGTATTGTCACTGGATGAATAACCTAGAGACCCAGGCTAATGCTCTGGGGATATGGGTTCAAATCTCATCATGGCAGATATTGAAACTTGAATCCGTGAAGATCTGGGATTAAAGCCAGCTGAGCAACAATAATGTAACCACTGTTGATTGTTGTAAAAATCTGTCTGATTCATTAGCATCCTTTAGGGAAGGAAAGCTGTTATCCTTATCTGGTCTGGCCTACATGTCACTCCAGACCTGCAGCAAAGTGATTCTTAACTGCCACCTGAAATGGCCTATCAAACCATTCAGTTCAAGTGGCAGTTAGGGGTGGGCATTGTATCTTAGCCCAGTCAATGAGACCCACTTCCCGTGGATGAATTTTAAAAAAAGGCTACCCTGATTAGATTATTGCTCCCTGTATCTCACACAAAATAATGAATGAGCCTAAGGGTCGAGGTTTCAGACCTGAAAATTACCCAGTCGATGTCATCAGCTTGGAGGGTAGGTGTCTCAGAAATTTAAGCAACAGGTAAAGTTAGCCATTCCACTCCTCACTTCTCAGAAAAAAACTTGAATGCTAATATCCACCAACAAGGTGATGCCATCAAGCCAAACAGACGTTTTGCTTATCGCAAATATTGGGTCATCTAATATATGAATTTCGGTGCTGGTGTGATGCTAGGTATGTCAGCTGTATGTCCCAACAACAGGTGGATCATATTGAAAAACAAGTTCCTTCAGGTGTTCACGGCTAACTGATGTCAGCTTTCCTGCTCCTCTGATGCTGCTTGGCCTGCTGTGTTCATCCAGCTCTACCCCTTGTTGTCTCGGATTCTCCAGCGGCAGTTCCTACTATCTCTGTATTTCATGCGGCCTGTGTTTGCAGAACTGAGAACATGGAATCAAATCTACTGCTGGACACAGATTAGACATCACTTGCTCAACAATTCAGATTGTGCAAAGGATTATACTAAAACAACTAATTGAAGATTATAAGTCAGGCTTGCAGTGTGGCTCAGTTACAGGTGCCAGAAACTACATATATTTGCCATGCAGGACCCCATCCTTGGCAAAGAGCAAGAGGATGTCCATGCATTGCAAGTTTGTCGGCTGAACAGAAGTTTGGGGAGCTGATATTCCCTTCTGCATTTCCCATGACAGTGTCTTGACCTGTCAGAGTCCACCTGCCTACCAATCATCACCCTTTTCTCATCCAGTTTAAATTTTTGATCTTTTTTTGAGATTTGATATTTTTGCAATTCTGCCTTAATAATTACAAGACCTTAAAAGTGGCTTATAAAATCACAAGGGGCATGGAGAGGGTGAATAGGCAAGGTCTTTTTCCCGGGTAGAGGACTCTAAAACTAGAGGGCATGGGTTTAAAGTGAGAGGGGAAAGAGTTAAAAGGGACCTGAGTGGCAACGTTTTCCACACATTAGGTGTTGCGTGTATGGAACAACTGCAGAGGAGGTTATGGAAGTGGGTACAATTACAACATTTACAAGGCATCTGGATGGGTACATGAATAGGAAGGGTTTAGAGAGATATGGGCTAAATGCTGGCAAATGGGACTAGATCAGTTTAGGATATCTGGTTGACATGGTCGAGTTGGACCGAAGGATCTGTTTCCATGCTGCATAACTGTATGAATGGATAAAATGAATAGGTTTCGAAGGCATATCCTGTTTACTCAGCAGTGGTAACCAAATTAAATCCTAATCTGGTTTTTGCAGTAAACTATTGAAAATGAATGGAATTCGTTTCCTGAGATGTTTTTGCGTTTTCTTTTCAGGACAAAGGAAAAGACAAGGTTTCAAAATTTGACTCCATTCGACACTCCATTGCTGGAATGATAAGATCGCCAAAAAATTATTTGAGTTCATCTGTAAGTTAATAGTATTTTCAAGCGGTCATACTATTTTGATAAATCATGTATAGTTAGTTTGATTTAATAACTTTATCAATTCACAAGCCTTACATTATCCTTTGCTGTATTCGCTGTACATTTCTTGCGTTTTTGTTAAATTGAATCTCCTAATGTTGGTGGACATTGCTGGAATGGTTGCAATTTTCTGCCCTGTTGCGTAGACTAGTTGTAGGTGATAGTGGAGTTTCTTCGACCGTTGTAGTGCATGTGAGATTTATCATGCAGGGGTTTCCTGTGCGTCAGTGAACAACTTGGATTCCAACAAAAATTTGTGAACTTCACAAATATTTAATCAGTTCTTTGACTGTGGTTGGCTTTTTATTTGCAGATTTTCTCTATTAACTTAATAATAATGAACTGCCTTCTTGGATTTGATCTCAGATTTTCCGGAATATTCGTCTGAATAACTCTGAATAACGACACCATTATCATACTGTATAATTCCTAACTAATTGTATGAACAAAAGTTGGTTTTTGATTTCACAATAGCATGTTTAGGTATATTGGGGAGAATACATATTAAAATTTCAAGAATTAATTTACCCTGATGTTTTTCTTAAGTAGAATTAAATAGTAGTAGTGGATATTTGAGAGAATATTTTCTGTTTTCATAGAACATTCCTACTACAAAGAAAAATTGTAAGAGGAGGACCCACCATCCATGATTAAATAAGTTAAGGAAGACATTAAACTAAAGGAAAAAACATATAATTGGTCAAAAATGAGTGACAAGTCAGATGTTTGATCAAATATGAAGAACAGCAGAGAAGGACAGCAAGATTAATCAAGCGATCAGAGTATGACAGGAAGCTAGCTAGAAGGTAAAATGGAGAGCAACAGTTTCTGCACATATCTAAAAGTGAAAAGGATAAGTGAGATGAGACATTTAAGTTATGATTTGAAAAATTGGGACTGTCGTCCCCTCAGAAGAGTAGTCTAGGAGGTGATATGATACAAGTTTTCAAATCATACATCTGCACAAAGCAACATAGAAACACAGAAAATAAGAGCAGTTACAGGCTATTCAGCCCTTTTAAGCCTGCTCCGTCATTCAGTATGATCAAGGCTGATCTTTCAACTGGGTGCCCTTCTCCCCATACCCTCAGTAGCTTTCCCTCCTTGCCCTTTGATCGCTTTAGCCCAAAGAACTATATCTAACTCTTCCTTGAAAACTTTCAATGCTTTGGCCTCAACCGCTTTCTGTGGCAGAGAATTCTACAGGCTCACCTTTGTGAGTGAAAAAATTTGTCTTCACCTCAGTCCTAAATGGCCTACACCATATCCTTAAGCTATCATCTATGTGTCTGGACTCCCTGAACATTGGGTACATCTTGCAATTATCCTATCTAGTCCTGTTTGAATGTTCTAGGTTTCCGGAGATTCCACCCAACCCTCCCTCCCTTGCCAATTCTTCTAAACTCCAGTGAATATAGTCTCAACTGATCCAGTCTGACTTCGTAAGTCACAGTTTTCGTGGGCACAGTTTTAAAGTGTGAGAAAAGCAAATGTGAGACTAGAAAAAACCTTTGAATTCAGCAAGTAATTAGGCTCTGGAATGCATTAGCTTGAAGTTCAATGGATGCAAGTTCAATTGAAGAATTCAAGAGATGTTACGTGATTATTTCAGGCCAAATAAATATACAGCACAATGGGTGAAAGGAAGGAGATTGTCATTAAGCTTAAATGCTTATAGAGTTGGTGCAAACTTGGCCCCTTGAGCTTGCTCCACAATTCATTAGCATGGTGGCTGACCAGCTTTCCTCACATCCACTTTCCTGCCTTCTCCCCATAACTCGTGATTCTCCTACCTGATCACGAATCCATCCATCTCAGTCTTAAATATACACAAGAACTCTGCTCCCACAAGCTGTGGCAAGCAGTTCCAAAATCTCAGAACCCTCCCAGAGAAGAATTCTTCAACATCTGTCTTAAATTGATACCCATTAATAGTTAGACTATGTCCTCTAGTCCTAGACTCTCTCAAGAGGGGAAATGTTCTCTCAGCATTTACTCTGCTAAGGCCCTTTTGAATTCTACATGCTTCAATTGGGTCACGTCTCATTCTTCTAAACTCCTGTGAGTAGAGTCCCAGTCTGTTTAGACAATTTCTCCTTACCAGGGATCATCCTAGTGAATGTTCTTTGAACTGTCCCTAATGTCACGATATTTTTCCTTAAATAAGTGGGCCAAAACTGTTCATAGTACTCCAGATGTGGCCTCACCAGCACCTTGTACAGTTACAGTAAGACTTCCCTACTCTTGTACTCCAACCCTCTTGAAAGAAGAGCCAACATTCCATTAGCCTTCCTGGTTACCTGCTGCTCCTATGTACAGTCGGTTCTGCTATAACACGTTTTTCTTCAACACGAATTGGCTCTAACGCAATTGAAGAATTTAGACTGCTATTTGTAGAACGTGAACTTTCCTTACCTATATTGACTATAACGTGATTCCAGCCCCATTAATTTATATAGTGCGGCTATTGCGCGATTTTCTTATAATGCAAGATTGTATGAGAACGGAACCATCATGTTATATCAGAACCGACTGCAGTAGCTTTCTTTGTTTCATGCACGTGTACCCTCAAGACCTTTTGTGTTGCAGCTTTTCTCTGTTTAACTAATACTGTTCTTTTGTTCTCCCTTTCAAAATTAACATCTTCATGTTTTCCCATATTACGGTCCATTTGCCAACTTCTGCCTACTTCGTTAACCTATCAATATCTCTCTGTAAACTGTTTTTATTGTCTCACAACTTGCCTTTCTACCTATTTTTGTGTTGTCTGCAAATTTGGCTACAGTACATTTGCTTCCTTCCTCCAATGGGAGGTTCTGCTAATGCGAATTGGCTGTAACACAACTGGCAAACAGGGAATGCTGTTTCTAGAACGCGAACTTGTATTGGCTTTTACGCAATTCCATCGGTACGTGGAGGTGTACGCGTTGACATCACGATTTTTTTTCACTGGCTTTGTCCTGAACATGTGCACTGTTAGTGCCAAAAGAGTCTGCGCTGGCATCACGTGATCATCGCGCTTTCAATGAGAGGTGCAGTGCTTTTTTTTCTTCTGCAAACTGCCATGTTACCCACAAAAAAAAATCCTGCCTGCCTTTAGCGCTAGCAGTGGCTGGTTTGCTGGTGTTAAGAACCGCTATGCTTTTCATAACATTAAAGTTATGCGGTGAAGCTGCCACTGCAGACGAGGAGCATGCGATGGCATTTCCTCCCATAGTTTAAAAAAAAAGTTAATTGACGGAGAAGAATCATAGAATCCCTACAGTGTGGAAACAGGCCCTTCGGCCCAACAAGTCCACACCAACCATTGGAGCATCCCACCCAGACCAATCCCCCTATAACCCACCTAATCTACACATCCCTGAACACTACAGGCAATTTAGCATGGCCAATCCACCTAGTCTGCACATCTTTCAAGGCTACAACTTAGATCAAATTTTCAATTTGGATGAGACAGGTTTATACTGGAAGCAGATGCCATCAAGAACCTACATTTCTATCGATGAAGCACATCCTCCAGGCTTTAAGGTGGCAAAGGATAGTATGAATGTGCTGATGGGTGCCAATGACAGTGGAGACTTGAAGCTTAAGCCTGTGGTGGTCTACCACCTGCTAACCCGCGAGCTTTGAAAGGTTACCTTCAGTCTACTCTACATGTCTGCTTGAGGTCAAACAAAAGGTTGGATGAAGGGACAAATTTTTTCTGACCTTATTGTTGATGTTTTGGAAGATGTTTTTAGAAAGTCTTGCAAGAAAAAAAACATGATTTCAAGATTCTCCTTATCCTAGATAATGCACTAAGCCATTCTCCCATCATTGGTGAGCTTTCTGAAAACAACAAAGTGCTGTTTCTACCCCCAAACACAACTTCTGTCCTTCAACACATGCACCAGAATGCAAAAGCTGTTTTTAAGGCTTATTTTTAAGAGGCTGATTCCAGCCACTGAGGGGGATAAGGACAGTGTTCTTCAATTTTGGAAGAACTGTAACATCAAGAATGCAATTGACATTATTGTGGATGCCTGCGGTGATGTCAGTAAGGACTGCTTGTGTGTAGTTTGGTGGATGTTTTTCCCAGATTTTTTCAAGATTTCAAAGGCTTTGATCTGTCAGAGGAACTCCCAAGAATCAAAGAACGTTGTGCTGCTCTTGCAAAGCAAGTTGCATTTGAAGAAGTGGAGAGCTGCTTGTGTCCCACTATGAAGACCTCTCTACAGCAGATCTACAACAACTTGTCACTGAGGAGGAAGTTAAAGCTGGAGATGAAGAAGTAGTAGTCCAGGATGTAGCACCATGAGAGTTTTCCATTTCTATTTCCTCTTCTATCCTGAGGGAAATTGAGAAGCAGTTTGCTGTTTTAGAGGACAACGAGTACAGTGCAGAATGCAGCAGGGTAGAAGTTCGTGGAATAAGATTTTATTTGGCACCCTATGAACAGCTTCATCATGAAAAAAGAAAAACGGCAAAGCAGCAAAAACTGCATTTTTTTTTTAAAGTCAATCCCTAAGAAACAGCCAGAAGACAATGAACCACAGCCATCCACTTCTGGGTTAACTATATTTTCGCCCTAACCCTGCAACCACACCTGCACCTGAAGGTGGTGGTGGTGATGATGAAGATGACCCTCGGTTTCTGCAGTAGCAATACAGCAACCTCAAAACCTCCTCCCCCATCATGTCATCTTGACAATTTTTCAAGATAAGGTGTTAAATTTACTTTTATTTCATTGTTAGATATGAATTAAACATTTATTCAAAAGTGCTATCCTTTGTGTTAGACTTTTGAGTGATTTTTTTTTTGGTGGTCTGCCCCTAACCCTGCATTTCCCATAGCACCGTTATATTTATAACACGATTTTCTATGAAGCAATGTTGCACAGGAACGTGACTATCACGTTAAAGCCGAACCCTGTATTTCATAAACAGTTGCGGTCTTTGCACTGATGCCTGTGGAACCCCATTGGTTGCAGGTTGCCAGCATGAAAAAGAACTCTTATCTGCACTTGCTGTTTCCGGCTCATTAACCAATTCACTATCCATGCCAATATACTACTTTCTTATTAGTTGATCTTTTGTGAGGTGGCTAATCAGCTTAAAGTTACCCCCTTTCGGCCTCCCTTTTTGAACAAAGATGTCACATTGCAGTTTTCCAATCCTCCAGTGCTTCCCCAGAGTCCAAGGATTTTTGGAAAATTACAACTGTCTGTACAGCTGATGCTTTATTGGTTGATTTACCTCATCGATTTGTATGCTGTATTCCTTCATACCATAGTCTGTTTTTTACTTCCAGCATCTCTTTCCCGCTTCCATTGTCTCTACTCTTGGATTTACTACAATTTCCCAAGTTTGTTTCCTTGTTCCCACTATTTAGTAAATACAATGTAAAGTTGCAGTTGACAGGATAAGTAACTGCTTTGATAATTTTGAAGAAAACAAATAAAAAGTAAGGACTACTTTGCATGGTGCAATAACTAGTAGTGGCTTGCTACCTCCTCTTTGGGATAATTTGACATAAAACTGATCTTTAGTTTAAACTGGTCAACTAATGCCCTTCAGAATCTAACATCCTTACTTTGCCTTGTCCATATGTGACTCCAGACTCCCTGCAAGTAGCGGACATTACCTTGCATGCCATTCAAAGTGTTAAGTCCAGCATTACGTATGCACTGGAAACCACAAAGGCACGTCATGCGATGCTTTCCTTCTATTTATCATGGAAACTGTACCAATATTCAATACACACCCAAAAATGTTCAGTATACTCCCTGCATCATATAGTGAATGTCTCACACCCCTCCACCACTACCCCTGAGAATGTATTGTGCCACCAAAATAGGACAGATCTAGCAGAAATGGAGGTATGGCAGTATGCACTGAAGAAGACATGGCCCTGAAGGTCCTCATCCCTGACTTTGGACCCAAAATAATTTCATGGTTTCAGGTCAGACATGAAAAAATAAACTTACTGACCGTCTACTATAGCCCTCCTTCAACTGATGAATCTGTGGTGCTCCGTGATGAGCACCATTTTGAAAAAGCACTGGGGATAACAAAGGCACAGAATTTACTTTTGGTGGAGGACTTCAATATCTGTCACCTCGAATTGTTGACTGGTATCAGTACTGATTGAAATGGATTATTCCTGAAGGACATTTCTGTCAGACTTGCTCCATGGTCTGTGGTGTGAGACAACAAGTCACAAAACCCTACGATACCTCATCCTTGCCATCTCCTTGTTAGAAATATATCTGCCCAAGGCAATATTTACAGTATTAGTACATTCCAGGTGGAAGGTTATTCCTGTTGTCTGAAGACACCATTTTGTTGTGTGACAATATTACTTGCTGCAAAATGGAATAGATTTGGAACAGATCCAGCAGATGGTAGTGAACCACATTCTTGAACTTTTTTTCTTTCCTGCAATTAATGTGGTGAAGTTGTATCCACAGTGCTATCGGGGAGGGAATGTCTCATTTTTGACCCAGTGATAGTGAAAGCACAGCAGAAAGTTTTCAATAGATAATGTAGTGAAAGTCTGTTAGCACATCAACTTCAGGTCCAGAAAAATCAGACAATGTGAACTGACCCATGGATACTTGATCCTCTGCAGGCACATGTAAGAAAAGGACCTGAGATGGAGATGGGGGGTTGTAGTTGGAACCAAGAGTGAGGAGGGTCCAGCTAGGCTTGCCTGAGGGAGCATTCAGGTAAGGCAAGATGTCAGAACTTATGTTGGTTGTGGTGCTGTTCCAATCACTTCATAAGAAAACCATGGCATTCTTTTCAGAATGAGACTTTGTGTTATACAAGAGCTCTTTCGTTGAAAAGACACTTTATTTTTAATATTTCTGGGAGGACTTCAGGTTGTGAAGGATGATGGAAAAGTGGATTTGTTTCAAGTTTCGTGGAAAATACTGGTGTGGTGTCTTTTAACACTGTTTAAAAGAGGCTATTGAAAGGTCATTGTGGACATTGGCAGTTTTGTTTCTTTTAAAGAAAAATCTTCCCAGAAATCACGTGGTTGGTGATAACTAATTGTTCTGCTCTAGACCCTGCTGAGGCTGTTTAAGCGATAACTGGCTTAGAAAGGATCTTGCCCATTCTGCTTTTTGGTTGGGGACAAGAAACCTGCAGGAATGTCTGCCTAGCTGATTTCTCCCTTTTCTGAAAATAAGCCCTTCTTGTTGAGTTCAGGATGGAACCCATTTGTTGTTCTGAAAGAGAATTGAAGAAACATGTTATTGTTGTGGAGAGATAGTAGGAACTGCAGATGCTGGAGAATCTGAGATAACAAGGTGTAGAGCTGGATGAACACAGCAGGCCAAGCAGCATCAGAGGAGCAGGAAGACTGATGTTTCGGGCCTAGACCCTTCTTCAGAAAATGATGAAGAAATGCTATTGTTGTGTTCCTTGAGTAAGCTTTGTCTGCAAGATTCAATGGACTATAGTTCCTAATTACTGATTTGTGCATACATTAAAATACCAGATTGATTGAATTTAAAACATTCTATGCTTTATCCTGCCTTCAAGAATAAACCATTGGACAAAACATTTTCTCAAAAGAATCAATTTGTGCAGAGAATGGTTTTTTTCCTGTGTTCTGAAGAGTATTTGTGTCTGTTTTTGGGAAATTTAAAGGGCATTATTGACCCTGTACATTAACTTATTCAATGAAGCTGCAATAATTGTTAAGAAACCTGGTTGATAGATCTTGTAGTTTTTAAGCTTAGACAGATAATGTATTGGACTGGCCAAATTAGGAACCGAAAGAAGTATGTTGTGACCTGTGGAGAAGAGGGACTAGAGTTCCAGTGCATTCCTCCACCCCTCATCATAATAACATGTAATAACAAGAATGTTGATACCAAAGAAAAGCCACAAATGTAATTCAGAGATGCCTTCCTATTTTATTGGAAACAGAACTCTGCTCTTCAAGTGAACTTGCAGTAACTTACAGTGCAAGTCCAATACTATACTGCATTATTTATAAATTTCATCATGCCTTTGCCAATGTGTGTTTGATTTCTTGTTATGCATATTAAACTATAACAATTCTCTGTCTTATTTAAAATATTGTTCATTTTTTTTTTGCTTTACCGCAGTACTGCAGCATATTGTTGACGTGTCAAAATTCAGAAACTCTTGTTTTCCAGTTCTTTGATGTGATGCCTACCAGTGAGAAACCATTAGCAGAACAAGATTGGTATCATGGAGCAATTCCTCGGATAGAAGCACAAGAGCTGTTGAAACAGCAAGGTGATTTCCTGGTCCGAGAAAGCCACGGCAAACCTGGTGAATATGTTCTTTCTGTTTACTCAGATGGACAGCGCAGACACTTTATCATCCAGTATGCAGATGTAAGTGTAGTCATTATTGTTTTTAAGAAATATCACAATTAAACTGATTTATTTCTTTTCATCTGTTGCCAACATTTTTCTTCAAGCTTTTATTTTAAGGCTATTTTGAACTGACTGAATGCAGTATTTTGAACTGACTGAATGCAGTATTTTAAGTACTTCAAGCTTTTACAATCTCCATAGAAACAATTAACTAATTATAAGAGGGTTAGTTAATGTTCCAGTGATCTGCACAAAGGATCATACATCAAGTTTTCATGTTTTAAGACTTTCAGTGCAACAAATGAGCCAGGATTTGACATCGACTAAACATGACTCAGTAAGCAACGAATATAGAAAAATACAGAAAAGATGTTCCTTACTAAGTTGTTAAAATCCTCAGCAATCCCACCATGTTTAGCCAATACATCATGCTCTCAGTAGAATTATAGCCATGTAGGTACAAATCCAAATCATTCTTGGCATTTTGACCGGTTCCTTTCTCCCTGCCACAGTCGAAGTGAATCTTCTGGTATCCTATATAAATAAGCCCCCTTCACTCAATCATCTTGGCATAATTGAATGGACTGCAAATCACAAGTTCCATCTTGGTAACAGTTTGGTTATATAGGTCTCCACAAATCTCATGTTTATCTTTCTGCACAGAAAAACACTGGCAAGCATTATGCTGTCACAGGTGTTCCTGCCCTGCCTTGTATGCGTAATGGCATCTCTCACTTTGTCTTTCTGCAGAGCCTTTGAATCTGTAACTGTAGCAGTGGTAAGGCCAGTTACCTCTTCCTTTGTGTTCATGTTTTGAAACTCATACCTGACTTTCACTTCTGGGAATCATGGCAGTCTGGTAACAGGTATGGGCCTGTATCCAGACAGACTTCAGCTCAACTCCACACCTTCCCATATTACATGGCATTCTGTTTACCTTAAATTATAAAAGACAATGTAAAACATAACATATTGTAAAGGTGAGTACACTTTGATGCTTCAGGAATGTTAATGAGGCCATCTGAAAGATATGGGCATGTTTTAACCTATTTTTTAAAATATCTGCAGATGTGATAATCTTGCAAGTTTATAGAGTTTTGAAGAAGGGCTCAAAAATTAATTTTATAATCTTCATATTAAAACTTTGGCTTGAATTTGAAGAAATAATAGTTACATTAAACATAACTCCCAAAAACTTGAAGTCACATGGCACCAGGCTATAGTCCAATTTGGAATCTCAAGCTTTTGGATTGCTGCACCTGCGCTCCGAAAGCTTGTGATTTCAAATAAACTAGTTGGACTATAACCTGGTGTCATGTGACTTCTGACTTTGTCAACCCCAGTCTAACACCAGCACCTCCACATTATCGCTAAAGCTTGTCCACCGTCTACAGCGTACAAGTTAGGATGGTGATGGAATACTGCCCACTTGCCTGGATGAGTGCAGCTCCAGTCAAACACGCTCAGGGGAAGCTTGATACTGTACAGATAAAGCAGCTCGCTTGATTGGCGCCACATCCACAAACGTTCACTTCTCTCTACTGCTGATGCTCAGGAGCAGTAGTGTGTACCATCTACAAGATGCACCGCAGAAATTTACCAAAGACATAGAGAACGCCTTCCAAACCCACTTCAAGCCCAAACCCTTTCAAACCACTCACCATCCTGACTTGGAAATATATCACAGTTCCTTCAGTGTCATTGGATCAAAATCCTGGAATTCTATCTCTAACGCATTGTGAATCGACCTACTGCTGTACAAGAGTGCAACTCACCACCACCATTTCAAAGGATGGCCAATAAATGCGATGTAGCCAGTGATGCCAGTGAATAGAAAAATTGAGGATGGTTTTGATGCAAATCGTATACATTGTATCAGAACTTCTGTCATTACTCCATACAAATGCCCCTCACAAAATTACTTCTCTGGATATGATCTTATTGTTTTCTCTATAATTTTAGTTGCTTCTAAGAATGAATTATATGGTTTACCATATTGACAAGTTTAGTGAATGTTTTAAACGATTGTGCTCCTACAACAGCGTACTGTCTTTTTGCACATTTTTCCAATGACCCTGCACTCTACGTGTTGCTGGAAAAAAAAAAGTCATTTTGTCAAAGCTTCTCATTTATCAAGAATTCAAATTCTAGGGGAACGTCAGCATTTTTACTGCATGAGATGAGAGTGCTGATTGATCAGCAAGTGGACTATGAATGGTAGAGGCATTGCTGTGGAGAATTAACCCATTAATGTTGATTGACAATGAATAGCCAGGCTTTGTTTAAATTTTAAACCAGACAGGTTGACTCTGATTGGTCAGGACATAGCCATTGGCTGGTTCATTTCTCATGGCAGTCACTTATTTTGTTTCGTTGAAATAGGCACAGTGCATGTACGTGGTCTTTCTGTCTGAAAATAACAGGACCCTATGTAGCTTTTCAATACACATAAGTATACCACATTGGAAGCAAGACTGTCAATCCTAAATTGGGTGTCAGGGTAATACTTCATATTTGGGTTATTCAGCAAATGTTGTCTCATCACAAAATCACATTTACGCCGTTGCTAGTTCTGCAACCATGGGTTGGTTGGGTACGTCAGTGCCTTGCTTGTAGTAGGCAGCCAAAATAACATGATATTTGACTTGGTTCTCTAGTCTTTGAGATGTACGGATCACAATGGCACTGAAATCCATTTCCCGCATGACTCATTTCTGTCACCGACACAACATTTTTTCAGCCTGATGGCAGCATCCTATTAGTGGGGAACACCATCTGTCATGCTTCATGATAGCAGCAGTGTAAAACTTTTCTTTTATCTTTTGCTGAATCTTTTGATACCTTGCCCTTCCAGCATAATCTGTAGACTGGACTGTGTAATGTGCAACAAGAAATGATTGATTAGTGTATCCATTATCTCACAAGCCAGTTTTGATGTTAACTGTTTCAACGTAAAGTTAGGATGGCGGACAAATGGCTCTGGCCCTATTTATAAGATTGCTGAGAAGGCCAAACTGGTAGAGACAAAGATAAAAATTGTTGGAAAAACTCAGCAGGTCTGGCAGCATCTGTGGAGAGAAATCAGCATAAACATTTTGGATCGAGTGACCCTTCCTCAGAACTGATGGTAGCTATGAAACTGTCGGTTCGTATGCAGAAGATAGGATGGGGGGAGGGGGTAGAGCCCAAAGAGAGAGAACAGCAGTTGGACAGACAAAGGAGTGGATAGTGATCTGGCTAGGAGGATGAATAGTCATTAATGCGGATTTAGTGGTTGACAATGGGGAGTGTGTAATAGCAGACCATGTCATAACACAGTAGGGGTGTTAGTGTTAAGGCTGTCAGGTCTCCAAGCAGAAAATGAGGAGCTGTTCTTCCAGCTTATGCTGAGCTTCGCTGGAGCGCTGCAGCAAACTTGAGACAGAGATGTTGGCCGGGGAACAGGGTGGCAATTTGGAGTGACGGGCAACTGGAAATTCAGGGTCTTTTTTGCAAGCTGAATGCAAGTGTTCTGCAAAATGGTCACCCAGTCTATGGTTTGTTTTCCCAGTGTAGAGGAGACCACGTTGTGAGCAGCGAATGCAATAGACTAGATTGTGTGAAGTGCAGGTAAAAGCACTGCTTCACTTGGAAGGTGTGTTTGGGTCCTTGGGTATTGAAGAAGGAGGAAGTAAACAACAGAGAACTATTTCCCCTGTTCCCTCCAGGACACCCTGGTCAACTCTTCCTTCACTCCCAACACTACTGCACTCTCTCTCATACTCACGCACACTCTCACGGCACCTTCCGTTGCAGCTACAGAAGTTGTAACACCTGTCTGTTGACCTCTTCCCTCCCCAGTATCCAAGGGCCCAAACACACTATCCAGGTGAAGCAGTGCTTTGCTTGCGCTTCAAACATTCGCTGCTCAAAATGTGGCCTCCTGTACACTCTGGAAAAGAAGTGTAGATTGAGTGACCACTTTGCAGAACACTTGTGTTCAGTTCATTAAAAAAACCCTGAATTTCCAGTTGCCTGTCACTTCAAATCACCATCCTGCTCCCTGGCCAACATCTCTGTATCACGCTTGCTACAGTGCTGCAGCAAAGCTCAGTGCAAGCAGGAAGAACAGTTTCTCATTTTCTACTTGGAGACCCTACAGCCTTCTGGATTCATTATTGAGTTTGACAACTTTAGGGCTTGAGCTCTCCCATGTCCGTACCCCCAACCCACACAAACCAAGCCTTGTTATCACAGTCTGCTATTACACATCCCCCATTGTTAGCCACTATTAGTTCCCCTTAATAGCTATTCACCCTCCTTGCCAGATTGTTATCCATTCTTTTGTCTGTCCACCTGCTCATCTCTCTCTTTGGGCTGTATTCCCACCTATCGTTTACTCCTTTACTCCTTACCCTCTCCTCCCACCTCATCATCTGCATATAAACCAACATTCTCCTAGCCAGCATCCGTTCTGAGGAAGGGTCACTCAATCGGAAACGTTAAGTCTGAGTTCATTCCACAGATGTGCCAGACCTGCTGAGCTTCTCCAGCAGTTTCTACTTTTGTCTGATTTACAGCATCTGCAGTTCTTTCAGTTTTTATTTAGGCCAAACTGGTAGCTCATGGAACTGTAGGAATTCCAATTTTTACACTGACAAGTGAAGGTAGGTTTATAGTAGACATTTATGGAGAACCCCTGGCCGATTTCTCGATTAGGACATCAGTGAAAGGGAACATCTTTAAAAGGCACCAGTTAAAGATTAATTTGAGCACAGGATAGAACTCACTTAGACATGTTGGAAATTGTGGTGTGTGGCTGCACTTTCAAATACAGCAAGTGCATCATCAACATGTTGGAAATATGCATGGCTATAAGGTGATATGTCATTCTTTTGATGATCTGTTTCTTATGGAAACCAAAGAAATTTGAGAGTGCAGGGACTGTCTAGTGGGATTTCACGGCATTGCAACCCATTTGGGCATATATTTGATTGTTGAACCTCAACTGTGTTGCATGTTTGCTGAGTTTGCAGATGTCTATGGCTTCCACGACTGGTACATTGATGATTCAGTTCACAATGTTAAGTGATCACGTGGACACTGCATTGCTGTTGATAAGCAAGTATGGTCTTTGCAAATGTGAAGGAGTCCTTGACTGTGTAAGTGGAAAACTTGCTGGAAACTGATTATAGTAATTCGCCTTACTCTTTGGGCAGTCCATGTTGTGCAGAACTGGTCTTGAACAAGTTTAGGCTTAAAGGGATAACTTGTTTGTTGGTCTTGGGCAACCTGTACAAATAATGATGCAGTGAAATGTGAGGATGAACCTCCATCATGTATAGCTCGTGGCAGCTCATTGTTCTTATCCGAGTTCAGTGAATGCCTTTTTAGTTGGCTTTTGAGTAAAGCTGTCTGGTCATGCTGAATGGTAGGTCCAGTAGATACAAATTTCTTCCTGTCATAAAGTATGTTAAATATTCTATTGATTTGTCACGCTTATTAAAGATAACTATTCCAGTCCCTTTGTTGGTTTATTTTGTCAGTATGTGCATGTTGCTGTTGGGACCTTGCCATGTTGCCGGCAGATTTTTTCCCTAAAGGTTGTTAGTGAGCCAGATCAGTCATATTGGCAAGCAATGATACTTTGAAGGTTATGATTGCTGGTACAAGCTCCGTGTTCCAGATTCATTCCTTGAATTTAATCCAACCAGTTGCAATGGGATTTGAACCTGTGTCCTCAGAGAGTATTAGTTGGATCTTCGAGATAATTCAAGTGACATTATCATTTTGTCACCATCTTGTCCTAATCTTCCCTGTTATCAAACTAGCAATCTATTGAACTCTGTACCATTTTCATAATCGAGGGCTTAGTCAATGAAAGGCATGAATTCCAAAAAATTTGTCCTCTGCACAATCAAGTGGTATTTAATATTTTGTAGGAGGTTCTCTTTGGAGCTGAATTATTACTGATTTTTCTTTCTCAATGCTATTGTTTGTATTTGGATTTTGTCCATAACCTTTCCTCTTATGAATTCTAATGAACATACCTGCAGTCTCTGTGGCCTTAACAAACACTGGCAGCTCTCTTGATCCAGGCCAGTGATGAGCGTCTTACCTCATTCCTAACTTCACCTTGTTATTCGTGAAAAGAATTTGAGGAAAAGGATGGTGAAACATTTGTTGACAAGAACAAAACTCCTGTGGGGACAGTGGCGAAATAGTTAGTACAGTTTAGCTTTTGGTTAGTGATGGTCTTTGCTCCTTTACCCCAACATTCTAAAACTGTTAGTGGGTGAATACGCTTGATGTCATTGTAAAGAAATGGTTGAATTTGCTTTTCTTCATTTGGTCAATACTTGATAGCTGTTCTTTCAATTTGTAGCCTAATTATGAGTAGGTGATATTGTAAAATGCTGGGGGTTTATTGTACTGTCTGATCTGCTAAATATTGAAGTTGGTGAGTGTTTTTATGTATTTTATTTTAATTTTTTTACACAGAATCAGTATCGATTTGAAGGAACTGGATTTCCAACAATACCGCAGCTTATGGAACATCATTATTCTACAAAACAAGTGATCACAAAAAAATCAGGAGTGGTGCTATTGAATCCTGTTGTTAAGGTTGGAACATTCAGATGACTGAATTTTAATACTTTTGTGTTAAATTACTGCTGTCTGCTTGAAGTTAGTTGATTTACTTCATGCAGCATTCAAAAATGTATAACATTGAGATTGTCAGTGTTATGCTATTTCAGTTGCCAAATGTTCCAATTCCATCTGGTCTTTAAAGTAAGTTCCTTTCTCTTTATTTACGCAGCTTGTCCCGTTTTATATGACAGTTCCGAGTAGATGGTAAAGTAAAAGTACCTACATTGAATCCCTCCATGGATTTGAAATATTAAACCGATATCATAGCATAGTATCTTGCTGTAACAGTCATAATTTTTACTTTCTATAAAGTAGTCACACAGAATACATCATAAATAGTGTGCGCAAGTTGAGAAATCAGTGACAGTTGGAATTCAGTGCAAAAGGGAAGGAGATGCTCTTGTATCCTCAAATATTTGCTGTGGTCCATATCACAAGAAAACTATTTAACTTAATCTGCCTATAATTTAAAGTAGATAGAGTAACTACCTTACAATTTCATGGAAAAAAAATTTATCTTACAGTTTATTGAAATAAATAAAACAAGTTAGAACTACTGCACATGGGATATTGTGAAGAGCATTGTGATCCTGCAAAATAACATCTGCAGAATCAATATTTCAAGGGTTTTGAGTTGTTGAACTGATATCTGAGGGACAGGTTTTGTGACCAGCGCAGGGAAGGAGTGTTTCTTGAGCATTTCAATCTATGCTCCTTGTGCTAGCAAGTAGTTTAGGTCTTTTTTTCAGTGGTCAGAGCATGTGACATTCAGGCAGGTGAGGGCACCAAGGTGTAATGCTGGAGGAGCCTTGGTCTTTGCCATTATCAATCAGATGTGACTTCTTAGTACCTGAATGGATAGCAGCATGGTGTACAGGCTGGCTGTTCTCTGCAGCTGCAGCCAGGAATTCCAAACCACTGTGGATGCAGTGCTAAGAGCAAGGACATATTTTGTGACTGAAGAAGAATGGTGAGTGTCGGGGAGACTATCCAGTTGGAGTGGCCCATGTAGGAGTACTGACACGGGACAAATGAGAAACCATGTTCACCTGACAATATTTGAGGAGTTGATATCTAATTAATAAGCAGAATCCCAAAGATAAATTTCTGGAATCAGTGTCTTGTACAAGTGAATAACTATAGCTGTATTTTAAATCAAAACAAAATAGAACGGGGATCGATGTAAAGGATATTTAGAAAGTGAAAGAGAAATATCGAGGCCATGAACCATTGTAGCAACTTGAAGAAAGATATACAATGCAACTCCGTGTGGCAAAAAGTCTAATATTATTAAATAGTGAAGCGATGAATAAAGTTAAATTTTCAGTACGTACAAATATGGTGCCTGAATACACAAATTAGTGTCTCAAATAAAAATAGCTGGGTTTTTTACTTTATTGGCCATTACGTAAACATGGATGTAAGGTGACCAGTGATGGTCTCTAAATATTCATGATACTTGATGTTTTCGACAGACAGACAAAATGGAAAAGGAGTTGGGTAAGTCTGATGGTACAGGATAACATTCAGACAGAAGTGAAAAATGTTCCTTTGTTAGAAAAACAGGATGTAGAATTGGTATAGGTGGAGATATGAAATAACAATGGAGAGAGAACATTGCAGGAAATAATTTATTAGTCCTCTGACAGTAGCTATACTTTTGGACACAATGCTAATCAGGAAAGGGACCTCTAACAAAAATAATGTAATAATCATGCAAGACTTTTAATCTTCTTTTGGTTGGACAAATGAAAGTGGCACCTGTGGTTTGGAAGATGCGTTTAGGGAATGTTGTCAAAATACTTTCCTGGATGATCTATTGTGGAATCAATTAGGAAAGAGCTAATTTTAGATATTGTTTTATGTAATATGATGGAACTGTACTCCCGTCTGTCCACTGGAGAGGTGCCAGAGGACTGAGGGCAGCCAATCTGATACTGTTAGTCAAGAAAAGGAGAACAGGGATAGGTAAGGCAAGTACAGGCCTATCAGTCAATCCTCAGTGGTGGGAAAACTGTTGTAAGCATTTCTTAGGGACAGAATTAATCTACATGAGGAGAGGCAGCAATTAATCAAAAAATACTCAGCATAGTTCTGTAAAGGAGAGCTTATGTCTGATTTGACTTGGCTGAAGTCTTCAGAAAGATGACCAGGTGTGTAGATGAGGGCAATGTTTTTGATGCCATCTGCTTGGACTTCAGCAAGGTTTTTGGTAAGGTCCCAGATGGGACACTGATAGCAAAGGTAAGAGCCCATGGGGTCCAAGGAAGGTGGAAAATTAGATCCACAATTGGTTGAATGGCAGGAAGCAGAGGATGCTGGTCATTGATATTTTTTGTTATTGCAAGCTTTTGTCCAGTGGCATCCTGAAAGGATCAGTGTTGAGGCCTTCGCTGTTTGTGGTTTAAATAAATGTTTTACACTTCAATGTAGGAAGGTTGATCAGTAAGTTTGTGGATGATATGAAAATTAGTGGGATAGTAACTAGGGTAGACAGCTATGGATTACAGGAACATATAGACAGGCTGATCAAATGAGCTGATCAGTAGCAAATGGAATTCAGCCCAACTAAGCGTGAAGTGACGATCTTGGGCAAGGCAAGGGAAAATACATAACGAACAGTAGGAAACTGGGGACCACAAAGATCAGAGGGACCTTGGTGTGCATGCCCATTGGTCCCTTAAGGTAGTGGGGAGGTTATGTTGGAACTGTATTAAAGATTGATTAGACCACATATAAGGTTTTGTGTGCAGTTCTGGAATTCACACTGTAGAAGAGGTGGCATAGCAGTGGAGATGTACAAGGTTGTTGCCTGGGCTGGAGAGTTCCAGTTATGAAGAGAGATTGGATACACTGGGGTTGTTTTACTTGGAGCAGTGGTGGCTGAGAAGGTACATGATTGAGATGTACCAGATTATGGGTGGCATAAACAGGAAGAGACTTTTTGCTTTTGTGGAGGGATCAATAACTGAGGGCATAGATTTAATATAAGTGGCAGGAGTTTTAGAGGATATGTGAGGGAAAAAATGTTTTTCCTGGGGGTGGGGGGGTAATCTAGAACTTAGTGCCTGTAAGCTTGGTAAAGGCAGAAACCCTCAAAGGAGTATTTAGATGTGCATTTGCAATGGTAAGAAATACAAGGCTATGGGCCAAATGTAAAAATAAATGGAATTAGAATAGTTAGGTGGTTGTTTTTGACTCACGCAAACTTGGTGGGCCAAAAGGTTCTTTGCTGTGCTGCAGACCTCTATGACTAATTGATAATCTCAAATAAAGGATCCTCTGCCATGACGTGATCATCATATAAGAGAATTTTAGATTGGATTCAAGGGTGACATGTATGAGTCGAAAACTGGAGTCTTAAACTTAAATAAAGACAGTTCCATAGATCCGTACCAAGAGTTGGATAAGGTAGGTAGATAAATTAAAACATTTTGCTGGTAAATGAGCATTTGCGAATATGTGTAAGCAACATTTCATAGACATCAGCATGGTGTGTTGCCTCCTTGGTGCCAGGATCAAGGATATCTCAAAGGGGAGAAGGACCAGCAGCAGGTTATTTTACGCGTTGGACTCAACAACATTGGAAGCGATAAGGACAAGATTCTGAGCAGAGTATACAGGAAGGTAGGGATTTAAAAAGGAGGTCCTTGAGGGTAGTAATATCTGGATTACTCCCAGTGCTATGAGCTAGTGAGAGTAGGAATATGAGAATACAGCAGATGAATGTGTGGCTGAGGAGGTGGTGCAGGGGAGTAGGATTCACATTTTTGGATCATTGGAATCTCTTCTGGGGTAGAAGTGACCCTGTATAGGGATGGATGGATTACACCTGCATTGGAAGGAGACTATTATACTGGCGGGGAGGATTTAAACTTGTGGTAGTAGTTGTTGGTGGTGGTGGGACCCAGGGAGATAAGGAGGAAAGAGAGCAGTCAGAGACTGATACAGTTGGGAAAAGGAGTAAGTCAAACTGTCAGGCCAGACAGGAACAAAGCAGAGATCGAAGTAGGACTGATAAATCAAAATTGTATTTATTTCAATGTAAGAGGTCTAACAGGTAAGGCAGATGAACTCTGGGCATGTTTGGGAACATGGGACGAGGATATCGCCGCGATTACAGAGATGTGGCTCAGGGATGGACAGGAGTGGCAGCTTATTGTTCCAGGGTATGGATGCTATAGGAAGTATAGAAAAGAGGGCAAGAGAGGAGGCGGAGTTGTGTTTTTGATTAAGGATAACATTACTGCTGTATTTAGAGAGGATATTCCTGGGAATACATCCAGGGAAGTTATCTGGGTGGAACTGAGAAATAAGAAAGGGTTGATCACCTTATTGAGGTTGTACTATAGATTCCCTCAATAGTCAGCAGGAAATTCAGAAACAAATTTGGAAGGAGGTCTCAGTTATCTGTGAGAACAATAGGGTGGTGATGGTAGGGAATCTTAGTTTTCCAAACATAGACTGGGATTGCCACAGTGTAAAGGACTTGAATGGAGAGGAATTCGTTAAGTGTGCACAAGAAAACTTTCTCATTCAGTAGGAGATAGCAAGAACTGCAGATGCTGGAGTCAGAGATAACCCAGTGTCGGGCTGGAGGAACACAGCTGACCAGGCAGCATCAGAGGAGCAGGAAAGTTGATATTTCAGATCAGGACCCTTCTTTAGAAGTCTTCAGAAATTGTTCTGAAGAAGGGTCTCGACCTGAAATATCAACATTCCTGCTCCTCTGATGCTGCCTGGCCTGCTGTGTTCTTCCAGCTGCACACTGTTGGTTCTGATTCAGTATGTGGATGTAACTACTAGAGAAGATGAAAAACCTGACCTCCTCTTGGAAAGTACGGCAAGGCAGGTGACTGAGATGTCAGTGGGGGAGCACTTTGGGGCCAGTTACCATAATTCTATTAGTTTTAAAATAGTAATGGAAAAGGATAGGTAAGATCTAAAAGTTAAAGTTCTAAATTGGAGGAAGG